TTCCCCTGTTTTAACTATGAATTGCATGAAGCAAAGATACAGAGCAATAGATAGCTGATGCTCATCATGAGAACTTGTCTTGTTTATAGTCGCTCAATAAAAGGAAGGGGAAAAAAACCTCCAAACTTCAGAGCAATGGACAAAACAAATGAAGAAAAGACACACATCATTCTTTAACACCAAGCAAAAGAAAGAAAGGTGTTGCTGGCTCCCACTTCTCAAAGTAGAGCCATGTGAAAATTAGCCTGAAAACTCTTTAAAAACCTGATTTATGCCATCTCCATGTTGATTTGAATGAAGAGTCCCATGAGGCAAGGTCTCCATTGAGGCCACTCGTCTACCTGTTGCCCCTCCACACTACCTGAGGGTGATCACTGCAACTATCTGCACAAGAGAATCTTACAACTTCTAAATTATGCCAAAACTTTTCTCATTTGGGCAATATTTATGCATTTCTGTTAGGACAACTTTCAGCTGAAGTAGCAGCAAAAGCTCAAGCCCAATCATTTCTCCTCAAATCTGCAGTTATGCTTTCAAGTGGAGATAATCCAGCACCACCACTTGGCAACTGAAACGTGGTCTTCCAACTTTATCTCTCCTTCATGTGCCTTTGTCCCGCTGTTCATCTATCACTCACAACATGTCAAATAACACAACTAATCTCTGTGCTTCCCAGAACAGTTTATCTGAAAGACACTCAACAGAGTTTCTTAGGTATAAGGATCTCGGCACACCAACTAAGGCACATTGTTCAGCTTAACCAGTTGAGGACACCAGTAAGCACTAAATACAGTGTTCCCAGGTGTTTCATAGAAATAAAGAACCTTCCCTGTAATGAAGATCATTGAATTTCCTATCCTGTCTCATGTTGCTATTTTGAAGACACTGAACCATTGAAGATAACTGCTACTAGTAAATTATTTGACCTTCATTAACCTAGTAAAAAGGTAAACTTCATCACTGTGAAAGCCACCAGGTGTTTACAAGAACACAGCTTTTCGTGTGCTCATACAAAGCTCATACATTAGCTTTTCGTGCAGTCAATATTTAGTTGCAAAATAAACCACCTACATGGGTCAAATCTGTGCTACTAGTATTGTCTCCACAAGAAATAAGTGTTTCCTAACAGCGTTTGGGAAGAGGAAGGACACAGCCGATTTTCAGAGCGAGAGCCAGGCAAAACTTCTTGTTTCCCTTCTCTTCTAACACCGGTTCAAAGCACCAAAAACAATAAACAGGCGTGCCACACTTCTGCACCCTGTGATCTACTTTAATAGTGTAAGGTTTGTGCCAGTAACAGCAACTGAAACAAAAACATTCAAGATGACCTTTCAAAAAATGTCTCTGGTCAGTAACAAATCCGATGACTAGTACCACCAGAGCATTCACCATTCCCAAAAAGAGAAGTATTTCAGACCAAGTTTTCTATTAATTTATTTTGTGTTTTTTCCTAATCACTTCGTAATGGTACACTTTATAAGCTGCTGCCTCAAAAAGTAATTTCATCTTGCTTGTAAAGAAGAAAAAAATGTGAAGACCAAACTAATTTAACATCTGTCCAATGGTTAGGAAAAGTAAATACATCTTGTCCCAGAGGAAAATAACATGATGCAAAGCCTAGATTTCTCAGCAGAGCTGTTTCCTACAACACTAACAAAGACCGTAACTCTCACAATACAAAAGCAGGAACACCTGCAGCCTCCGAAAGGCAAATTCCTCCACCTAAATCCAGAAAATAGATAATGAGACTACAGATGTGAGTGAGATTCACTTAAGTCAGTAATCATTAAAGGAGGCATCAGGTAAAACATATAAGCAAACGAGTTCTATGTCGATCAAATTCAAGTAAAAAATCTTAAATGCATTTAAAAAGTTATCTCTCAACTGATTAGGCTGTAACCCCATCTGGTGTGGTTCTGGAATGCTACTCACATCAGCACTGAAAATACTGATTTTTCTGTACTTCTGAAGGAGGGAAAACTCACATTTTCCTTTAGGGTGTATTAGGTTCACAGCACAAATGTAACGGAAGGATACATTAGCTGGGTTCTTTCTCTTTAGGGAACCTTAAAAATGGTCCTGTAAGCCACATCTGCTAATACCTGAATGTTTACAAGCAATTGCCCATCACAGAACTACTGGTTATAAAAAGGAAAGATCTCATTTTAGAGTTCAGCTTCAATACCAAATTCTGCTACTCTCCCACATACACACAAATTAATGCACATTTGTGGGAGCATTCACATCTCCCTTCTGTGTGTTTTTTGTTACTGTTAAACCAAACGTGCCAACACAAGAACTTCTGCTGTGTGAGATCACACAGGCACTTTTGCAGCATGAGAGAAAACTGCAACAGCATAATGAAAAAACTCACTAACTCCAGGACTCCACTGCTGAATTTCTTTACCTGTATATTATAAACAATTGGACTTGGGTCGCAGTCTATTTCTATACAGAGTCATGACTATCAACGGACCAAACAGTGACACATTAAACTCTTTACAGATTATACAGATGGCCAGTGTCTACAGGTGGAATTTTGAAAACTAGCACAAGAAAGGCAAAAATAATCCAGGAAATTGTTACCAATGTGAATAGAAGTCTCACAATTATTATTTAAATAAAGGAGCTGGTATGCTGAAGTACAACACGTCTCTTTTTAGACATTATCCCAAACATCAACCGGATCTCTAAATAATTTCTGAGAAGAAACATTTTCTAGTGGTAGATTCCTAATCCCCCTGGAGAAAGCCCAGATCATCTCCATTTAAGGTCAAGAAGGCAACAGCTGCACATTTTTGTTCAGCAGACTAAAGCCTTCAACACAGATTCCTTTTTTAAAGCTTTTCCTTTCTCATATCCACGGGTGTCTGGATCCGTTCACCCAGGAGTGAATGAAAACAGTACAATGATGTGCTCATATATCGTGTCTGTACTTGTCAGATGTGACATGTCCCATAAGCAGTACTTTGGCATCTGCCTCAGAATCCCACCAAAACCTCCAAGAGTTACATGAGGGAATACATCTAACCTGAACCAGAAAAATGTTCTCAAGAGAGTGTTCCTAAACAAGCTTATTTTTAGAGAAACAACATTAATACAACATCTACCAACATTCATTTGGTCTGAACTTGTACATATTACTGCTATTTGGCGAATACATTTTCCATCTTAAAATTCTTATCCGAGTTGATATTTAGAGAAGATGTGTATTATGCTTCTCATGAAATCCTAGTATTTTTTCAGTGCCTTAATTTGTACATTTAAGTATCACTTGAAAATGGAGACCAAGCTATGACTGTGTCAGCTCACAAACAAAACCAAATTCTCTTAAGGTATCTCATTTCTAAAAAGCTCCAATTCATTAACAAAAAAAAAGCCAAGAATTTGGGGTAGTGTAACTAAATAACATGACAATTTTACATCAATTTTGTTAAAGGGAGGAACGGCACTGCAGCTGTTACAATGCTGGGTGTTGGACTTCATAACAAAATATAGAGGGTGAATTTCAATAGTACAAGTTTCATAAAAAAGGCAAACAATCCAATGCTAGCACGTCTCTTGGATGACAGCATACAATAAAAACATGGAACTTCTCTCATAAAAAAAGCCGAATACAGTTTGCTTGACTGTGAGAGATTTATAACATTAATAATGCCATTATAAGTAAATTATGAAACACTTTGCACCAGTAAAGAACCATCACTCCTCACTGTAAAGATATTCAATTAACTTTCAACTGAAATATGTGACCCCAGACTTCCTGGATTTGATACTAAAGGACAACTGAAAGCAGGCGGATTTATGATACCAAAACCAAGCTGCTAACTTCAACTGTGATATAACCAATTTGCAGAAGAGCTATTTACAAAAATAAAAACAGAGCTCAACTTGAAACAGGGTTGTACATCACCCCCAAAGCCCTTCTGTCTCTGGTTTGAACGATGTACTGCAGCAGGGCTTCCAGGGAACAAAAAACCCAAACTAAACAAAAAAACCCACCCTGTCTGGATTCCTGCTTAAAGCCAAGCACTCATCTATGCTAAACAATTATTGTCAAAAGTGAATCTTTAAGTGTTCAGAGTTTGGCTCAGTTTCTGTATTTTTGCCTGCAATTTCCCAATGAGGAAAAGGCCTGTGCTGTCAGTTGTATCCACAAAGAAAGCCTGATGCTGGATGCTCTCACTTGACAGCTTAATCCTTTTGCATCCAGTAAATCCTTCACTTCCCCAGTGCACAAAACCTACTCTGCATATGCACTATGTTGCCACTTTTCAACACAGGAAAGTATACATAAGATAACCTGTAAAGTAGCATCAAGCTACTACCCCTATCCAAACAAAGAGAAAGGGTTCTCAGAAGATTCACTTAAATAATTTCCAGCCACAGAAAGTGGGAGAGGAAGAAAAAAATGTGGAAGTGTGTTTTAAAGGAGAGATAAATACTTCAAAATATATAGTAATGATAAATTTCAGAGATGAACTTACAGATGTCAAATTTGGGAAAAAAAATCCTCTAACCTCACCCATTACTGTTTGGAAGAGACATGAAACACAGAAAAGTTATTTCAGTTTAAGCACTGTGACAAGAAAATATTATCTTGGGAAGCATTTATCATATACTATAAACTGAATACCAGCTATGTAACTATATATTATTGAAAGTGTAGTTTAAAAAATACCTTGGACAAAAGAAAATCATTCCAAATCAAACACCCACAAGAAATGTGTTAGCGTTCAGTATTTAGGTTTCCTAACAAAGAAGAAACAGAAGTAGCAAAAGTAACACATCCAAAGCAGCTCCCTGAGTAAGTTCCCCATTTAAGTTCCCGTTTTAAAAAAGGCAGTGGCAGGGAACAGCTCCCTTTGCTACCCTACTGAAGCATGCAGCTTCCCAGATTCCTTCATCCTGTGATTGAGCAGGTGGTCTCCCTGGCACACAGGTCCTTTCACAAAAGGAGAGGTGCTGCCCACATTTAATACATTACTGCTGGGAACAAGTTTAGAGGAGCCACTGCCCGTGTCAGAAGGCAAATGGGACCAATCAACTTGTGAGCTGCTGAGTGACACCGTGAGTCCTGCCTCTGAAACTTTTGTTATTTTTTCCCCTCAGCCTACTTCAATTGTTTCCACAACTTGGTCACAGACTCGGAAAAGTTGCCAGAGATCTACAGGCACGTCCCACAGCCTGCAGCAAGCTCATCTGTGCTTCACTGTCACAACAGGGGTAAGGAACCTCTCTTCTGTGTTATCTCTTAAATATTGCAGGAAGGCACGCTGTAACTGTACTTTTCTACAAAAACCTCCTCTACTCAAATTAACAGCTAGTTTTAACTGTTTATCAAAAATATGGAAATATAGGCATTACAGCTCTGAGTCAAAGATATACTGCTGTGTGGGGAGCCTTTCAGCAACAGTAAAGGCAACATAATTTCCTATATGTTCATAGGACGCCCGCTGTCTGTGGGTAGATGATTTATACAGGTGGTGTTGCACAAGAAGGTGAGAAGGTTTCATCATTTTTCTCACACCTTTGTTTCTCCTTCCAAATTTAGTATCTTTTGCTTGTTTTTTCTTTTGTCTGTTTGGTCTTGGTTTTTAATCCAAAATCTACAAAGAGAATAATTCTCTTAAAGTTTTGTACAGGCATTCTTTTTCCCAAAGCTGCCTATTCACAGACCAGGAAGCATAAAGAAGCTCTTTCACCATTAACTCTGTAAAATATTTTTCTGATCTTTTTCTGATCTAACACATTGAGAGAACAAACCTTTTTTTGCTGTATGATGAAAAATTATCCTTAATTAAAATTTTTAGTGATTTATAGCACTACTAGGAACTGAAATTATACCATGTTACTCTAAGTGGAGTTCAAGCTACCAAATCCATGTAGTGTTTTTGCTTTGACATCCATTAAAATTTTATTTTCTCCTGTTGTTCATTGTAACTAATACAACACTTGTCCTAGATTACTTCTAATAACTGAGAAATAATTCAGCTAGGATTTGTAACATCATGAACTGAATTTCAAATGCAGAAAAGAACCCATTTATTTCTAAGGGAAGCACAGACATGTTGTACAATGAAATATAATCCCAGCTTTAAAATCACTGAAATAAGATGCATCTCAGAGAAACACAGAGAACACACAGAGAACATGCAATATTTACATATACAAGTATTTTAAAAAGAAATACAATTTTGAATATGGATGTCTCTAAGGTACTTATGCTCCTTACAATCTTGCTCCCCCCTTTCATCAACTGACACCTTACTACTTATGTCTACATACGGTTATAGAAGAGACAAACCTAATATAGACTTGTAATTTTGCGAGGTGTGTTTTCCCTGTTAGTGAACAGATACCCCTAATTCCTTTTCCTTTTAGTGACTGGCAGGCATCAGACAAAGATAGATCCAGGTGCTTGGTTTTGTGCTCAGCAGCCTTGTGCCAATTTTGAATATTCAAGTGAGAGAAATGTCCGGACATGCTGTTACTCCTAAGGCAAACAGTCTGGTACAGAATGCTCTAGAAGCTGTTTTCAGTAGGCAGAAGCAGCACTTCAGACCTCCCAGTGCCTACAAAGACCAAGAAGGTTCCCAGACACATTTTTTTCAAGGCTGAAGTTATACATAAAATGTATTTTCAAGTGAAGAGAGGAGTTAAGGTGTATTCTACCACCCAGAGAATCCTCTTCTACCACAAATATTGCATATGCCGACCTTTAAAAATACACACAGAGATTGAACATACACACCGACACTTAACTGCTATGGGCAGTTCTTCCCTGGAAGCTGGAATGCATCCCATAGCTACAGCAGGTCAGCTGCTCCATCATCTCAATTTTATCCAGTTAGAGTTCAGTAATTTAATGTAGATGAGAGAGTGGCTCAGCTGTTAAATTAAATTTTAAAATTTCACACTTATAACATCCCATGTCACAGACATTCAAACCCTGAGAAACAACCTACAGTCATGACAGAGGCATGTGCTACAGGACAGGTGATAGGTGTTACAAATCAATGTGAAATTAGGCATTTAATTTACAGCAGGCAAGATGCTGTCTTTTTTTTTTGTCAACACAACAATGCAATTGTTATTTAAAAGAGATTCGGATTCATGTATTACCACATTTTTATTTTTAAAAGTTGCATTTATTTCCCATCCTCTGAGGAAGTTAGTTCCTCCTTACAACAGGAAAGTCACTGAAATCATCAGTTTGTAACTGGTAGTGTAAAGGTGATTTTCACTGCTTTTTCAGACCATCAGCAAACAAAAATGTATGGGACACATGTACAGAACTGCAGAACTTTTTGTTTGCTTTAAGAATAATTTATTTAGGAATAGAAAAGTACCTCATCTGGAGAAATAAAAAAATCTCACAGGGAAGTAAAGTTTTGTTCCCTAAAACGACAAGACACTTTAAAACTGAAGATTGCTTTTGATTTCTGGAGATTGAAAAAAGGCTAAACAGGACCTTCCTGGCATCAAGTAACTTCTCTGAAGTTAAATTTTTCTGTTATACTCTTCTCAATCAATGCCATATCATTGTTTCCTGACATGCTAGAAGGTTAAAAACAAAACCTGGAACATCCCCTTCCACTTCTACCTTTTATACATGCTTGATGTATCTCAATTTTTACTTTAATTTAAATTGCACTTAGACTATTTCCTATTAAAGGGACATTATGAACCACCATAGCTAAAACTCAACATGAAACAACTTGCTAGGTAATCAATGAACACAGCAGAAGATGGAGTTAATTTCCTAAAAGAAATTTACTAAGTAAAAGGCAGATCACATCAATAGACTGGAATTGGTATACAGTTATTTTATGTCTTATTTTGATGAGGGGAACCTGTGAGTATGGAAACTGAAGAACCTGCCCAAGATGCCACTGCATGGTCCTGCAGCAGCTGCAGGGAATTTAACCAACTCAAAAACTAGCCCAAAGCACTGGCTCCCAGGCTACTCTAAAGGACCAGCACACATATTATCAGTTATCCACAAGATATGTAGATAATTTCAAAGCCCAAAATTACTGGTGTGTTCAACTATTCATCAGTGTAATTTCTTGTCACCTACAACGTTCACATTCTCATGGACTTGAAATACAAGTAGAGGCTCTTAGTGTTGATCTTGTTTCTTAGAACACCAAAAACATCAAAGCTACTCAGAAGGAAGATTGCAGAAAGGGGGAAAAAATTAACTGAAGTGTGAGTGTTCCCCTATGCTCTCTGAAACACATATGACACTTCAGTACAAAACAGACAAAAGGTAAAGAGAAAGATAAAATTAGTTTGTTTTTCCTGTTACCAGCATTTCTCAGACTACGAACTGAATTGTTGCTTCTTTCCCCATCCTAAGGAAATGCTGTCTCCATAGGATTGAAAAATGACATTCTATGCCACAAGTCAGTGCCTAAATCTTCAATCAACATAATTTTATAGTACTTTTCCCATACTATGTTTAAAGTTAGTAAGACTTTTTTTTTTTTTTTTCCAATGGATAGAAGTGAATTACTGGGGGTTTGGGACATCTCATTTTAAAAATCTATGAAATAGACTTATGCAACATAACTTCAACAACCCCTCAGGGCTTCACTTGGTCATGTGGAACTGCAAGAATTCAAGCAAGGCAAACTTCTTCTGTTCCACTGATATCACTGTTGCATTTAGTGAACATATGACAGGAAACAGGCTGTGGCATTTCCAAGGGAGCCAAATTTATCCCGTGTGACTTCAAAGAAGTCAATGCAGTTGCACCAGGAATGAGCATGGCCCACAGTTTTCACTTCAGTCACATACCCCCTCTCATTGTGAAGGGCACCCAGGAACAAAGATAAAAATAACCTAATACAAATCAGGGAAACAGTCACATGTCAGTGAAGTGGGAAGCAATAATTGTGATCAGTGACTCATTCTGAAGTATGAGGGGATTGTAAGTATAGGGGATTCCCTACATAGTAACATACAGAGTCAACCACCAGACATCTTCCTGCAGATTCACTCTGCACCTAAGCCTTGCACATCCACTAACAGCACTCATAAAACAAAACTGCACAGCAATGCAGCCAACTGCTCCTCTTGTGTGATGCTCATTCTTGTCACCCGAGTCACACTTTGTGACCCCTAAAAAATATCAAATATAATTTGCCCTTTTGCTGCACTTTAGTTTCAAGAAGTGGTGCGCGCATGTCCAATTCTTCTTTATATTGGCCTGAAACACCGGGGACTAAACAGCAGAGAGCAGCTACTATTTGTGACAATGATCAGTCTTTGTTTCTGTGTAATTATTTTCCAAGCTGTCCATTTTGACCTTGATAGCCTGTATGCAGCTCTGTTACTGAATCTGTTTCTCTTTCTGCACACTTTAGGTGGGTGACAGCGCCATGGAGGATTAACAACCAAGGTATGTGTTTATTAGTTGAACTCGAGCACTTGTAAAGACAAACTTGTTGAAATACAGACACAGAATTGGCTTCCTTTGCTTACAAGAAAACTTACCCCACAGACAGTTGTAGGAGGTTAAACAACACACAGATGTTTCAAAAACTTCCAAAACCATGTCAACTATTAATCAAGAAATTCAATCTATTTTGTTCTCTCCTCATCCCTTCTCTACAATGTCTTCTAGCTGTATGATGTATAGAGATTTTAACTTACACTACCTTCCACTTTTTAAGATGCTTTTGTATCCCCTTCTGGTCACATATGTCCAAATACCTGCTTTGGCCTTATCTGTGATGCCCAACCAGATAATATTGCTTTTTATGGAAGCACTTCAGAGCCCCAGGGCCTTGCCCCTTGAGTCATGCAAGTGAAACATATGCAGCAACACTGCAGTGCAAGTGCCAGCACAAAGTGCAGTCACACCTAATGCAGTAGGGTTGCATTAGTTCCTAATGAAGTGGAATTTACATTTATTCTGCATGTGTACAAGTACACATTCATGCTGTTCCAATCCTCTGTGGGCTCCAAGAAAAAAAAATCAGGAAAGATAAATGTTGCTGCAGTAGGTCACACACAGCCCAAAGACCAAGAGCTGCACACACCTGACACTGAAAAAATGACCAAAAATCCCATGATGAAGTCACCCACAGGAAATTCTGTTCTCTGGGCAGTGTCTGTCACAGATGCTGGTTACACAAACTCCTCTCTATCTATCCAAGTAATCCATTTGTGGTTCATCTACTGGGGCTTGTCTGCAAGAGGATGAGCAGTCTAATGCACTTCAGCCTGTAATGGGCTGGGAGAATGAATGTGCATTCAGCCAAGGGACTTTAGAATTCCTGTGCATGTCTTGCTTTTACTGCACTTGGGACAGACCATAACTAGTAAAGAGCTAAGCAGAAGATACTCAGCAAGCATTTTAACTGCTTAAATAGATGGAAACAGATACAGCAAAAAGTCAAACAAAGATGAAAAATTGTAGTCACTACAAGAGTATGTTCTGGTGTGGTTTTTTTTGCAATGAAGTTTAAGATCAACCAAAGCTAAAAAATCATAACAAAATCTGAAGTTCAGTTTGAGAAGGAGATGTCATCACATGGAGTTCTCTAAGGGTATTAAAATAACCATGTGCAATCTGATTGCTTTTGAAAGTCTCTCAAATATCAACACTGCCACTGAAAACACATGCATTCTGTTCATACAGCAACATTTCACTCTACAGCCCAACATGAAAGGATTAAAAAGGAAGAGTCTGAAAGACACTTTCATTTCCTTTTAAGGTTTTTCCATTTTAGCCACATATAAAGACAAATACATGAGCAAAGTATCTCTGCTTCAGTCAGGATCGTCATGTAATTTGGGCAGCAGACATCTAAGCAATTGTTTTCCTCTGTGCGGCATACATAATTTCACTTGTTTACAGGAAAAACAAAATAAAGTGGTGACAAGGAGAGGCCTTCTGTGAAACACATAAACACAATATAAATTCATAAAATGTTTAGGGGTAAGTGCAGCTCTAGGAACAAAGTCTGACAGATGCATATATGTGAGGACATAATTACTTTAAAAACCAAGTTTTCACATTGAGCGCCTACATGTAGAATCCAACTCACCATGAGCTAAACAAGCATGCACCAAAGCCAGCTTCTTGCCTTGGAAGGTTTGTACAGGAGGGTTTTATGTTGCAACTACTTATTTGGAGTTTTAAAACAATTGATACCTGGTCCTTCCACCTGCCACTAAAAAGGAGGAAAAATACACTGTAAATGTAACACTCACTTAAAAGACAAAGTTGTGTAAATGCTTTGTTTTGTTCCTCACAGCAGTTCTCTGCCTTTGCACACACGTTCAGAACACACTGTCCAACATGCATAAAAAAGATTCTGTCCTTACTCTGTATTGTCTGTTGAGAAGTACACTACTAAAATTCCCTACAGCAGTGATGCATTAGGTTTTAATTGCTCACCATAAAGAACTTTTTCTTGGAATGGAAATACTTCAGCAAGAATTCTTCTCCTCCCTTCCAGCAAAAGGTATTGGTAAATCAGATTATCTGCCCTGTCAGTACCAGCCAGCAGGACTATCCAGATCTCCTGGCTGAAAGGTCTGTGACCCTACTCTTATCATCAAGCCTTCACAAGTGCTTGAACAAATAAAGCAGAGAGGTGTGTGTGGAAAGGCAATCAGCCACAGCCTTTTCAGGGACCATGTGAGATAGAGAACTTAGATCTAAAGCAATAATCTGGGCAAAACCCAGATATCCACAATTTCCATAGTACAGTTACTCAACACTGCTAAGAAGCACGTGCTCAGTAGCCTTCAGGGGAAAAAGCACAATACAGCACAAATCTAAAATTAAAACCCCAAAATTTTAAAATGCAGATTTAACCCAAAGTCACTGTTTTAAAGTTCTAAAAAGTATGAAATAAACAGATTGCTTTTACAATCTCTATTTACACTCAGAAACACTTCTGCACTTCTAATTCTCTGCCTTCCTGCTTTCCAGCTCCGCAAAGGCTGTCTAAAACAAAGAGAAGATATTAGGCACTTTGCACTGTTCCTGACCACTGCTCTTCTTTCCTGCACTCCTAAAACCTCTGATTTGTGCCCTCTGCTTTCTTGTTGCCATGGAGAAGGTCCAACACATGACCCGCTCCGCTCTGAGGAGAGCCTCAACTATTGAGGTCAACCCACAAGCACGCCAAAGGCTCCAAGAGCTCTTTGTGAATTTCTGCCTGATTCTAATTTGCCTCTTGCTGATCTGTATCATCGTGATGCTTCTCTGAAGTTCCAGCACTTCTCTGCCCTGTCCTCTAGGAAAGTCACCCAGGGGGAAGAGAGACCTACACGTGCAACTCCCAGTGCAAGGATCCTCATGTGACAGGGGCTAGCACTTGGACTAGAGTGTGCCAGCCAGTGCTCTGTTATCTTACTGCCTGCTACATGTATTAAAAACACGTTTTCTGTGCAGAACAGTGTTTAGAGCCTGTAGTTACCAAGTTGTGCATGACTCAATTTGTCCACCTCAATCAAGAGATGTCTTTACTACATGGGGTAAAGTATCAGTAGATCAGATTATCTACTCTGAGCAGTAACAGCCAGCAGCTGGTAAATTCAAAGTTTTAGTCATATAAACACCACCATCACTTTCTGGGGGCCTAAGTATTTTTAGGTTTCTTTGAAAATCTTTAAGCCCTTGGAAGGGTTCCAAAACCATGCCTACCCAAAGAAGAGCTTACAGGTACACAGCTCTCAACACATCCTGGGAAAGTTTCTGCTCTTGCTTAGTTCAAAGTGCTGCATCTCTGCATTATCAACTGAAGGCATTCAAATCGTTTTAGTGTTTTTGAAAGCAATATGAGAATGAACGAAAAATCTCTTCGAAATCAGAAAGGAAAAACTAGTTCATATGTTTTGCTCCCTATTTAAGGGATCTTATGTACATGACATCTGGAAAGATTTTTCATTATGTTTTGCAGAAAAAAATTGACACTACCATAACTGAAATAAAGAATACTGTTTTCCATAGTCATTTGACTGCCATGACAACTGGCATAACTTGGATTCTCAGAGTTCTTAACATTTGCCTTTAGACAACTTAATTAAGGCCTGTTCTAATATATGTAGTAATTTCCTTAGTTTAAAACTAGTAAAGACTTGGAACTTGCCAATGTCACATGAGGTGGCTTACACCTGATGTGGCAAAGAGAAAAGTCTAGATCACCATCACTGTTGTGACTGAAGTGCACCATACAAATATAAGCTAAATCCCCATCTTCAGCTGCAAATTCCTGCTAGAGAACATGCAAACACTTTCCTAAAATAAATGACAGATTAAAAAGTTCATTGCAAATAATTATGCACAGGAAGGGAAAGCACTGCAGAAATATGTTTTCAACATGTTAACTATAGACTATACACATAAAAGATGACACTTCTGCTCCAGAAATTGTGAGTAACAAGACTGAGTAGAAGACTTCCAACCCTACTAACACTATTACATGTTGCTGGTATTAAGCAAAATTCCCAGAAATTCCATACACTTTTCAAATTTAAAGAAAGCTTAAGAATCAACAGACAGAGGTCAGACAGACATCCATTTTTTAAAGAGATATTCTTCTATTCCATTCTATGTAAACATTCTTACTGATGAATACAGAAAATCGAAACAAGTTTATCTGATATTCTGCCTTTAAGACTTAATATTTCATGAGTAGAAGTGTAGAAGTTGACCATGAACAGCTAAGCAGGAAGGGAAGAAATCTTTGAAAAAACTCTGTATACAATGGAATGCAAGCAAATCCAGTGGTGAATTTCCTATCTGGTGAGCAGGTATGTTGAGACCAGACTCTCAAGTAAGGTTACCCACTAGAGGAAATTAAGATAGCTACTTGTGTGAGGAGTAGGGCGAGCACTGCTGAGATTGGCAACACACCCCCACACTTGCAAGTTAGTATATGAGCATTACTGATTTGAACTGTCAGTGTAAATCTCAATTTCCATTTCATGCACTCTGACAACTCTCACAAACACAAGAGATTTTAGTAAGTGTATTTTCCTTTTTAATTCTTCTTACTTTTCTTCTCTTTTCGAATCTGTATTTTCGATGGATAGAGTTTCTAGCTTTAGTTTGCTTTGGATGTGTTTCAAGAGACTTCAACTGGAAATAAACAACAGTTTAACAGTACTGAAAACTTGCTGAAGAAAAAAGTGTTAAGAGTAAAGCAACAGCACTGCATTCTGAGGACATGTTTGGGTTAGAGGTTTCACAATCCAACAGTATAAAGGAATCAGAGTAAAGCATTGCTAAAAATGTAGCCCAGTAAAAACAAACCCTCCAACTTCCTCTTATGTACCTGAAAACCCATAACTTATTTTAAAACAATAACCAAACAAGAACAAAACCAAGTTATCAATAAACTGGAAGCCTTACTGCTATTTTACAGCAATGCAGATACACTGCATATACTGTATGGTTCATTTGTGTCTTAGGCTCCTGTTGATCAAAAAATCTGTTACTATCCTCTGTATCACCAATTGTCAACTGAACACAGAAATTTTATAAAAACCCTTTTGTACATAATACAATCTTCTTTGTAGACTCATGCAAGCTTAAAAAATAATATCTACAGTATTTTTATTTAATAAAAGGACTGCTTGAAAAATATTAACGCATAAAATATATCAAATTGTTTAGAAAGAAGCATCCATTCTATTACTTACTTACTGAAGTTATGTGAAAAGAAGCTAGTCATCACCCAGCTTTCTAATTCTCTATATCTCTATTTATTCTGTTTTGGTTTTCAGGAGTAATCTTGACTATTTTGCAATGTCCTTACACTATGACCTTACAAAGGTCATTTACATGTACCTGATTTCCACTCAGTAGCTTGTGCTTGTAACTATTCCTAATTAATTTTCTGCAAATGTAATCAAAAAGTTTAGCACTTTTACGAGTCATAATAAAAATTGCAAACATGTACAGCAAGTAGCTTGCATTAAGTTTTTAGTTCTCCGCTCCACTCCACTAAATCTCTTTCCTAAGGTCATCTTACATACTCATAAAGACAGCTAAACAGGCAACAATCTGGTATTAATCTTCTCCTTCAAAAAAAAAAATACCAACTTCCATGACAATTTTATACTGGGAAGGAGCTGAACCAGGAACCATAATATGCTGGTTTTAAAGATGTGTTTCCTCAGCCAGCTCCTCAGCAAAAAATGATACAACAATTAATTGAATAATTTCTATTATTCTATATGTAAAAACACGACCCATTTAAAAACTGAAAGTTTGATCTGACCAAGACTAGTCAGAAGGTGTTTTAGAAGGCAGCCAATATTTGCATTTCTTTAATAACTGTTCTACATCAATTTAGCAACAAGTTCCCTTCCTGGCAGAACTGAACCACTATTGTACAGACGAGTAAAACGGCCTTAAACAAAATTATTCACATGACATGCACAAAATGTTTGTCAATCCCCTGAACAAAAAATATTTATGTAAGTTTTGCTACAACTACACCAATGGTCAATGGTATAAGTAGGCCAGTGGTATCCTGGCATACATTAGGAAGAACATTCCCAGCAGGTCAAGGGAGATGATTCTGCCCCTCTACTCCACCCGGGTGGGGCTGGAGTGCCATGTCCAGTTCTGGACTCCTCAGTACAAGAGAGACATGGAGCTCCTGTAGCAGGTCCAGCAGAGGATGACAAAGATCATTAAGGTACTGGAGAAGTCCTTCTGTTAAGAGGAAAGTCTGAGGGAGCTGGGCCTGCTCAGCCTCCAGAAGAAGTGACTGAGAGTGGGGACCTTATCAATGTCAATCTGAAAGGGTGCCAAGAGGATGGAGCCAGGCTCTGCTGGGTGCTACCAAGCAACAGGACAAGAAGCAATGGGCAGAAACTGATGGGCAGGAAGTTCCATGTGAACGTGAGGTAGAACTTCTTTACTGTGCAGTGACTGTGCACTGGAACAGGCTGCCCAGAGAGGCTGTGGAGTCTCCCCCACTGGAGATGTTCAGACACCACCTGGACACAATCCTGTGCCATGTGCTCCAGGATGACCCTGCTTGAGCAGGAAGATGATAGTCCCCTCCAACCTTATCCATTCTGGGATACAGACAGAACAATAATCATAAAAAATGTACACACTTTTTAATGTATGCTGAAACATACTTTAACTATATCCTCTCTGCCAAAATTAGAGCAGAGTAATTGAACACATTCCTTTAGAGTGTGTTCGCATTTATATTTGGAAGCATATAAACACGCTATAGATTACAGACCAGATACCTGTATTTGTACAGCTATTAATGAATAGTACCTAGGAGAATACAATTGGAATTTTGTGAAATCCTGAAAGATCTAGAGATGCCTTATTTAACAACAAGTGCAATCATTTTAGCTTTGACCTCCTTGATAAAAAGTGGGGGAAAAAAGAAGAAAAGAACAAACCAAAACCCAGAACATATTTATAAGGATTCTTTTAAAAACTGATACTACCCTCATTAAGAACCCTGGTAATTTAAATTAATTAACACAAGCCCTATATTTACTGTAGTAATATCTAATGGATTGCTTTATATGCTTTTTCTTTTTTTTAAGGCAAAATTATGCCAGAAGTTATACATTTGTATAAAATGTAAAACTATGAAACACTGCCCTCTTGTGATCTTCCCTAAAAATGTAGCTGAGTATTTAAAGCAAGTTTTGGCAGATGTTGGCAGTATTAAGGTTGAGTGGGTTTATATATTCCTTTACTTATGTATATATATTTCTATAAATAAACCACAACTGTTAAGTTATTAATGCTATCTTAAAATAAGAAATTGCATGTGGGCTATTAAAAGGACTAAGGACACATCCTCTGCCAGCTCAATCCAGATTCTTGGAAAGGCATTTGCAAGACTGCACTGGACCTTACAAAGCACACTGCCAGCAAAACACAACTGCAGTGCACGATGCCAAACCCTAGAAGGGTAGGAAATACTTCTATGAACGGACAGACATTTTGCCCAGATAAGAAAGCAGGGGGCAGAGGGGTGTTTCACCCATAGAGGTATTTTAGAACCAAATTTTCAACAGTCTGTTGCTGAAAGAGACCAAGTCTTGAGAACATTCATTCTTTTGAAAATTCGATGGGCTTGAGAAGTACCATACACACTAATAAACTCAATGAAGTGCCAAAATGTATAAGAAAATTCAAGTCCTTCCTCCAACTATTAGTTTTTCAGAATTTCTTCAGTACTGGAATGAAATTTATCATTAACCTTAATTTTATTTCATTTTATTTTTAAGGTATTGGAGAAAAAAGGCTTGTAGAAGTATCCAGAATACTTTTCCAGAAAAAACCCCAAACAACTAGTTATTTTAAGCATACAATTTTTTGCTTAAGTAGCAGACACTAAAAACCAGGGAAAGAGCTACGGACACAATGAACTTCATGTGAACCTACACGGCTTACTAATGAAGGAGCAGCCCTAAGCTACAATTAAAAGTCTGCTGCAGGCACAAGAGGGCAGACTGATGCACATTATGGATCTTGCCAACAACAGAGGTCTCAACCTGCTACTTAACTTTCTGCTCATTGTCTTGGTTCTAGTGCTCGCATTTATCTTTGTGAAGCTGATGTGAACCTCGGCAAGGCCCTGCTCCCTTCTCAGATTTGGCCCTGTGGATTCTGCAGTGATAATGTAGACACTTTAGACTACCTGAATATAAGTATGTGAAGACTGCAGAGGCTGAAATATCTGACAGTTACAGAGAATGTGTTCACACCCAAATTTATCAGAAAGCAATCCTAAGAGCTGTGCTCAAGCTGTGCACCTGCCATTGAGTGAAGAAAGCACTTACAGCCTTGCCAAGTACCTGAAGAAACCCAAGAATGCATCAGCAGATACAGTAGTTTCTCATTGCTACATAAGCTGATTCTTATTTAAAGATCTACAAATTATTGTCAGCATTCAAGGAACAAAATTTCTGCAAAAAGGGGATAGCAGAAATCAAATTTTTAAAACTGAACTTCTGTAGAACATATACTTAATGGGAAATGACAGCAGGAAGGCAAATCAAAATGCCAGCTTTGAGCTGACAGCACACATCAAATTACCTGTGGAGAGAAAAGCACAGATGCTGTGAATGGAAACAAAAATATCCCTGAAAAGCAACTTGCAGTAGCAGAGATGGGGATAAGTGAAGGTCAAATATGAAAACATTATTATTTAGACCTTTTTTTGACCACCTGTGGTTCATTGCAACACCCTAAAAGCAAGGAGCCTTCTGTTATCCATCATATCAAAAGAAGCATCTGTCAAAACAACTAAAAAACAAAGGGCCATTACCCAGGGTTATCATAACTCTGGCCAGGAAACCCTTAGCACCAGCACATGCACCAGCAGTAGGCACAGCTGCACCGACCCAAGACGCATTACAGCCTCAGTAAGGGGATTTACCACTTATGCTCAGGTCAAGTGAGCAGTGTGGGAGCCCTCCAGCCGTATTTGACATGCCACTTGTTACTTGCCAGTGCAATCATCAGCCCATAGCCTGTCCTCACCTCTAAGCATGCAGCAAAAACTTCTTACAGGACCTTCTTTTGTGGCTCTTTACAGGGTGATGTACTTTTCCCACAGGGTCCTGGGAAGAAGACTGACCAACAAGAGCACACTGCTATTGGAATGATTTTCCAGAAGGCAGAGCTAAAAACATGAGAAGTGCTGGGAAAGGAGGGGACCAGAAGCAGATTTTCATACATCACATTGGAGCCAAACAACTTTCTCTTAGCATCTCACTTTGCCAAGTGAAACACAGAAACCAACCACAGGAACCACCATGCATGCACCAAAAAATATATATTGTACAGTAAATTTATTGCCGTAGATATGCATATTTACTCACATGCAAAAGAGGCAGATGTTGTTCCATGGATGGGGAAAGCTCCAGCTTCCTACTGCCAACAGCACATCCCTGATTCTATAATGCACTCAGCACATATACTGCTGAGTGCATTATAGAGCTGACCTATTTATGTTCACATCCAGAACTTCCATATGATCACTACTGTTATTCATTTATCTGCAGGAGACTCATCTAAACTGGATCTATGAACAGACTTTTCACAGGGAAAGGCAGTATGCCTAGCAAACCCAAAAACTTAAGGAAGTCCTGCCATTAATAAGCATCCACATTCCACTCTATGTTACCTTCTCCAAAGCTTACAGAGCATTAGTGTGCTGGTTTTATCAGGAATAAAGTTCATTTTCTTCATGGTATAGTAGTTAGCATGGGACTATGCATTGGTACAAGTCCAAAGTGTTGCTACTACAAAGGAAATTGCCTCTGCCCCAGCCAAACCAGCACAATGGCATAGACCAGCACAGATAGTTAAAACAAAAACTTTTTTTCTCACTTTCTCTGAAATATAACCATTTGAAATGGCTTCCGCAAACTACATACCCATAGTTTTTGAAGCTGTTAGACACAGTAGTATGAATTCCAAGCTGTTTGCATTTCAAGCAGAAAACATTGCACAGCTACACCACAGTATGCAATTCATCATTTATTTTGATAATCTTGAAATATTCTGCTTAAAAAAAAATCTGTAAATTTATATACCAGAGATATATGTGGTAATGGTTACATAGTTTCCTAATACTTAGAGGAATTCCTGTTGATGCTTGACATAGATGGTTCAAAGCACACCAAAACCACCGAAACAAACAGGAAACCCACTCTAGCAAAAAGCAGATTAAGAACAGTTTTCCCAACAAAATAGTTATTCACTGCTTGGGACTACCCAAAGCTTATTGTCTGTATGACCTGTATATTCAGAAGTTTCCCTATCTTAGAGAAACCACTGTGATACCAGTTGGCTCTGATAAAAAAAAATAAAAAATCACATATTCCTTTTTAATAAATTGGGGAAGATGAGCCTACTGCCACCAATAAGCATGTATTTCCAGATCAAAAATGACATATCAA